GAAGTGGCGCTGTGGCTAAAGTGGTAGAGCGCTAGCCTTGAGCTGAAGAGTGGAGGGACAGCGCCCAGGCCCAGAGTTCAGGCCCTATGACCAGACCAAAACAAACAAACAAACAAACAAATGTAAGCATCAGGCCTGTGAAGTCCTGTAAAAGGTGAAGTACTTTCAGAAGAGAAAACAGAGCAGATTGACAACAACATAAACGAAGTCTCTAGTAGAATTCTTCTGTTAAGACGCTCTATGAGCATCCTGATATAACTAGTATGAACCTAAAAAGCCAACACAGAAAGCTTTGGAGTGGCAGAAGCAATGACTCAGTGAAAGCAGGTATTTAAGACTTAGACTTGATTTGAGGTCTCTGAGACATCATCTGGTGCCTTTGCTGAGGCCTTCAATTTTACCTTAGTAAATTATTTCTCTAAGACAAGCTAAGGTTGGATTTGGGGTAGGAGAAAGAAGAACGAAGAATTGAGTGGGGAATTGTGTTTGTCCATGCCAATGGCTCCTTTGGGGGGCAAAGGGCAATTGGAGGACACTGGATACACAAGGAGTGAGAAATGGCACCATTCACTACATAGGACAGAAAGGAAAATTATAGGAGAACAGGGAAAGTGAAAAGAAACTGCGCATATTACATACAACTTTGACTGGGTGATTCTAAAGTAGGCTTTTAGGCTGTATAACTGTTTGGGGCTGTCTTATGTGAGATGTCTTCTAAAGTATGAAGATTAATGAGCCTTTTGTAAAGTAACCAGAGAAAGCACCTTGCTGTAAAGATCCCAGGGAAATAAGTCATTTTCTCCAGGTAAGTATTATGCTAAGGAAAGTACTATAGGATGTTCAGCAGTATCCCTGAGCTTGTACCCATAGCAACCCCCACCTACATCTATGATCATCAAATAGCAAGTAGAAAGGTCAATCTGCTTGTTTGACAAATCCGTACCCTACAGGATCAATTTATTTCCTCAATTGGGTAAGACTGTTTTCCATCCCTCCCCACACCCATCCTTCTCATTTTTCTTATCCTCTCTCTAAAGACCTGCACAACTTCAGAAAGATGGCAAGCAAATTGGCACAAAAGAAGAATCATTATTCCTGTTTTTAGTCTAATAATCAAAACAGAAATACATCAGTAAGACCTAAATTGCATGCCTCCTCATTCAGGTGTTTATCACCCAGTAATTCCAAATTCCAGCTTCTTCTTGGTTTCTTGAGATGATTTTATTCTTAATCTGTTACATAAAACCTAGAGCAGGGGGTGTGACTCAAGTAGTAGAGAGCCCACCTAATAGGAAGACCACCCAGAAGGACGCAAGAAAATTTGTCAAGGGCAATGCTCTGGTACCTTCAGTAAAAAACTATAGCCTGAGCAGCTATGCCTAATATTATTTTGGTCTTCCTCTGCATTCCTACAAAGGTATAATTATTAGAAGCTTAGCTATCCTAAGAGAAATTCTCCTTAAGTGGTCAAAAAATATCTCAGCCATTTGTGGTATTTTATTGGAAGCATGCAATGGCAGAGGCAAAACCAAAGCAGAAGACATTTTGTAATGTATTAGTACTAAACTATTGAATTTGCTATGGTTGGATTTACATCCAACAAACAGATTCAAAACAGAAATAAGCCTCTTAAAAATATTCTGCCTTGGAGAAACACTCTCTACACAACATGAGGCCAAATTATAGGCCGTGTCCTCTTACTTAAAATTTCGAGAGATCTTTTAAGAATACAAGGAAAGCTGAGAGCATCACGAGGAAGCAGAAACATGTCCAAAACTTTAAGTCTCTAATACTGAAAAATATATCTATATATCATCAGACCCTTGAAACTGCATGCTGATCTTCAAATATTACTTTCTAAAATGCAAGACTTACCTTTGTGTTTTGGTAACTACAACTTAAAATGGGCTTTTTTCACAAGTTATTAAATTTATTTACATATAATACATATGAATGATTCTCAAAGACCAATACAATTCCTTCAAACATTGCACAGTAATTTCATTAAAAGTAAACACAGACTTTTTATTGCTTTGCCACAACCTATTTTATCCTAGTTCATTATATAATATATTTTACTTTTTGTGATTTATTTCTGCAGAGTTAATTGCATATTTATATGTGGATACATTTTTGTACTGGAAACTGTTTATATCTTAAAAGAATTGGTTCTTCATTCCTTACGCTTTTAAAAATAAAATCAAAGAATTTTTTCCACAACTTTAATCTACAGTTTCTCCATGGCCTTGTATAGTTGCTCTAAAAGCTTTTTAAATTTATTTATTTTTAAAATTATTTTTAACTAGTTGTACAAAGGAGGTGCCATTTAACAAAGCAGTTTGTAAATACTGACACTTGATCAGTGTCACCCCTTCAACCCACCCCTTTGTCCCTTACGTTTCTTAGTTTTGTGCTATATACAATGAATTTTTACTGCATTCTCTTCCCCTACTTCATTCATCTTTCCCTCTCCCCTTGGCTCCAAACCCCTCTTGGATGCACCCATTTCCTGGTGTAGAATTGATAAATGGGATGACATCAAACTTAAAAGTTTCTACATGGCCAGAAGAAGAAGCTAAGTAGAAAGCTCATCAAATGGGAGAAGATTTTTACTAGCTATACATCAGACAAGGACCTAGTATCCAGAATATACTTAGAACTCAAAAAATTAAATCCTCAAAAATTAAAACCTCAAAGAAATAACAACCCAATTAATGAATGGGCTTAAAGAGAGAGTTCTCATAAGAAGAAGCAAAAATAGCCAATAAGCACATGAAGAAATGCTCAACATCTCTGGTCATAAAAGAAATGAACATCTAAACAACACTGAGATTTCACCTTACTCCAGTTAGAATGGCCATCATCAAGAAAACAATCAACAAATGCTGGTGAGGATCCAGACAAAAGGAGGGCATTTATCCAATAGAACATAAACAAGGTTACAGTAAAGCCATCAGCACAAACATGTCCACTGCAGCACTAGTCACCATAACCAAGATATGGAATCAGTCCAGATACCCCTGTATGGGCAAATGGATCAAAAAATGTAGTATATATACACTATTTTACTTATCTATTAGAAAGAGTGATATTGTACCATTCATAAGGAAATGGAAAGATGGAAAAATTATATTAAGTGAAGTAAACCACACCCAGAGAACCAAAGGTTGAATGGTTTCCCTCATTTGCGGTAGCTATAACATGCCTATAAATCTGTAAATAAATACACTGGGTGGTGTGCAAGTGGTTACAAATGAATTAGCCAAAGTATAATAGACTCTATGGAGGGCCGAAATAGTACATGATCTTAGAGAATGAATAGGTTAAAGCCCAACAAAATAAAAACTTGGGATTATTGATATAAATAGTACAGTAAATTGTGCATTCAACTCTCCATTTAAGTATTATTCTTTTATATTATTTTTATGTTGAACACTGTCTCTACAGTCCTCTTTCAAGACATAGTGCCATGTAAAATGATTAAATTTTATGTAAAGAAAAAAACACATAATTATTTCCTAGTGTGCAAAGGTTTAAGATTAAATAGTTTGGAAATGATGCTGTGGCTCAAGTGGTAGAGCACTTGCCTTGAGCTGAAGAGCTCAGGGATAGCGCACAGGCCCAGAGTTCAAGCCCCATGACTGACAAAAAAAACAAAATTAGTTTCTCCTCTTGCAAGGTTTCTTTCTCTATAAGTAGAAAACGTATTTCTCATCACTTGAATTTCCACCATTTTGTTTTTATATAAATAGCATATTTGAATTTGAGGGAAGATGCTTCCCTCTGCTCTGATATACAGTATTAATTAGTATATGGTATAATCACTATAATGAAGACTTTGATACACACACTAATTCAAACACCTACTATGAGTCTTTATATACATTTTATGTTTTACCAGGGAGTGTTATAAAGTCCCTTTCCTTGAAAACTTCTAAGTATTATTTATAGCTGTGTCTCATAAACAAAATTCAAGACAGCATTTAAAATGATGAGACTTTTAAGTGTAGTGAAGTTTTATGAGTCTACATGTTTTTTACATATTGTTGTTATGTCCCTTCAACTTAGAAAAATAGAAATGCAAATGCATGGATGGTTTCCCACCCACCTGTCCTTACAGCTCACACCTGTCAATCTATTCTTCTACAACCATTTGTTTACATATAGTATGTGACCCAATACAGGACAGAGTAAGTTGTATTATATCAGAACCAATCTCAGATATTACTAACTGTTCAGACTTCCCTGAACAGTGCCTGGCATGTTTCTATAGAAGAGAGTAGTTCATGAAACTAAAATATGGAAAATTTCAACATAATACTTTAACTGTATTTCCTCAAGGTATAAAGAAGCTCAATTTTCTTAATATTCCCATAACCTAGAAATGACAGAATCTGTTTCTGAAAGACATAACATGATTTATGTAATTATTCTGCTATTCAAAAACCTACTATCACATAAATGAAGTATCATTGAGAGACCGTTCTTTGTAATTCATGCAAGATTTGAGTATAAAACTATTTAAGGATAAATGTATTATAATCTCATTTTGATCCTTTAGTTTTTCTCTTCCTATCAAGGAATATAGAAGAATCTAGAGCAAATATCTCTTTCTTTAGAATAGGTTACAGAATTAAATAAGAAATGATTTACTTATTTTGTCATGTGAAAGTTACAGCATACTCATCAGAATTTACATAGTAAAAAAAGAAAGACAGAGACTATATAGGTACCAGTGGCTCACACCTGTAATCCTAGCTACTCAGGAGGTTGAGATGTAAGGATCCCAGGAAAAATGTCCATGAGATTCTAATCTCTAATTAACCAGTAAAAAACCACAAGTACAGGTGTGGCTCAAGTACTAGAGCGCTAGCCTTGAGGAAAGCTCCAGGAAAGCAACCAGGCTATAAGTTCAAAAACCAGTACCAGCATACACACAAAGAAAAAGAAAATTACTCAAGTCATGGCAATATACTATTTCATTGATAGCCGGTGTTTACCTGTACAGGAGTAATCGTCAATTCGGATGTATCCCGTTTTACATATGCACATGAAGGAGCCAGGGGTGTTGACACACATAGTATTCTCCCGACAGTAATGGCGCCCTTCAGCACACTCATCAATGTCTGTAAAGAAAGAGTAGGACAGGTGTTGATAGTGGCCAATATTCTAGAATGTCTCTATAATTTCCTTTGGGGAGAAGGGAGGAACAGTTACTGATTATACTGTGTTTTCAGAAAGCATTCAAAATACCCTCTTTATTTTCTTTTAATTTTTATTGACATTAGGTGGTTGTACAAAGAAGTTTCAACTCAACATATCAATTTGTGAGTACTGTGCATCTTGATCCATGTCATGCTTCCCTCCTTTTCCCCAATCTCTCCCAACCGCCCCCCCATCCGGGAAAGTTTCATGTTCATATGATAGAAACCACAGAATTATTTTAAGAGCTGTTGCTGCAGTTTCAAATATGTCTATCCATTTCAACTCTTACCATTATAAATACTGACTGAAATTCTGAGTATACCCATTTGTCTGTTTGATCAGATGACCTACAAAGTAGAGATTTGGAGGCCTTTGCATCTTAGAACATCCTGTCTCTGAGCCTACCCTGAATTATGTTGACTCTCTGGCTATTCTGTGAACTTGAGAAGACAGAAGGGGCCAAATGGAGTAGCCACTGTATCTCAGTGCTTGAATTTTGTACTTGATTAGAGATACCTCCCTGAATAGAGACAAAATTAGAATACAGAAACTTGATCTAGCCTCCATCAGAAAGAATGACACTGCCTCATTTGTTAGGAAATGGAAAGACTTAGAAAAAATTATATTAAGTGAAGCAAGCCAGGCTCAAAGAAACATAGGTCCCATGGTTTCCCTTATCTGTAATAACTAGTATATGTCTAAGGTAAGCAGAAAAGGTCAAAAGCTATGTACATATGACCATGTAAGATGATGCTAAGCTAAACAAAGCCCAAAATAGGGACAGAAATGGTTTTATCTGTTTTGCTATTGATTTTAATGTATTTATAATGTACCGTGTGATTTTTTTTGTTTTTTTTGTATGTTCTTCCCCCATGGTATAACCCCTGTTTTCACTGTATTTGATTCCGGTGCCCTGCATCTTGTATATACATTTCTCTAATTGGGGAGAGGAAGGGAAATAAATGCTGAAGTAAGGATATAGGTTAACTCCTTGTAACCATGAGATATACAAGACACTATGCTGAAAACAAACTTTTCAACTTTGCGAGAGGGGGGAGGGAGGAACTGGGGAGGGAAGGGATGGTAGAGGAAAAACAGAGGAGGTAACAATGCTCGATAGGAAATGTACTCAATACCTTACTCATGTAACTGTAACCGCTCTGTACAGTATTTTTACTATATATATGTGTGTATTATATCTATCTATCTATCTATGAAACCTGATCTAGATGAGACATTGGAAAGTTACAAAACAAGATATCCTATGGAAGATCTAACATAGTAAAATTCATACCCCAAGTTCTGAGTACAAAAACTTACAGATGTAAAGCCAAAAAAGGCCCTAGTATCAATTGTGAAGAATCTTTATGCGGACAATAAAAGTGCCCCCATTTTATAGCATCTCTCCATGAAACGGAGCACACTTCACAGGTGTTTGTCATCATATAATACACTTCACTAAGGGCTTTCATCTTTTGACCAGACAATGAATTCCACCTCGAGATTCCTCAAATTCCTGTGATGACTCCACAAAGTAATATTGACCTCATTTGTACAATCATCAGAAAATTGACAAACTACACAAGAGGGCTGGCTGGTGTGCCATTGTGACAGACAAGTTATTTCCTGTGCTTTCATTCTGACAACATTAAAAGAAGTCAAGTCGCATAGTCTCAGGAACTCACAGTTTAGCACTATAGAGCTCTTGAAACCCTGCTGAGCTAAGACTGTGTGTGTGCACACGCATGCCGGTACCAGGGCTTGAACTCAGGACTTGGGCGCTGTCTCTGAACTTCTGTGCTTAAGGCTAGTGCTCTACCACTTGAGCCACAGCTCCACTTTCCAGCTATTTTAGCAGTTAGTTAGAGAGTAGAGTCTCATGGACTTTCCTGTTCAGACTGGCTTTATCACAACGCTCAGCTCTCAGCGTCCTGAGTAGTTAGGATTACAGGCATGAGCCACTAGCATTTGGCTTCAGTCTTTATTTTGTAAATGGCAAAACTGAGGCCTGAAGAGGTTAAGCTTTCTAGTCAATCCCACAGTCCACATGATAAATGCAAACTAGTATGCAGGATTCTTGCCAGTGTGGCCTCTACTCTCTGAGCTTTCTGCTCTGAAGCTTTCTCTCTTTTCCCCTCTAAGTGCTCTGGCCACCTTGGGCCTAGCTGTACTTTGACTGGCCTGTGCTAACTTTCTACCTGTGGGCAGAGGCACACACTCTCACCTTTGCTCATCACATTGCTCCTTTCCTCTCCCTGAATGCACAGCAGGCTGGCTCATCCACAATAATCTGTTTAAACATACCTCAGTGAAAACCCCCCTCATCAACTGCAAGGCTCCCTGTGCAGGGTTCCTGTGAGATTTACTGTTTCCATCACATACACGTCAATTCTCTGCTTTTAAGATGTTTTATTAGCACATAATAGTGGTGCCAGGAGGATTTAGTGTCATTTCCATACAGATATACAATGTACCCCCATCAAATTCACTCCTTCCATCTCTCCCCCTCACTCCCTCCTGAAAAACATTTCAAGAGGTTTCATTAATCTATTTTTAGGCTTGTATACTGGAATACTTCCCGCTGGGCAACAATGGATCCCATCTATAATACTATCTACACAGGAGGTGAGATCTAAGGGTCACAGTTTGAAGGCAGCCTAGTAAGTCTGTGAGACTCTTATCTCCAATTAACCAACAAAAAAGGCAGAAATGGAGCTGTGGTTCAAGTGATAAAGCACCATTCTTGAGTAAAAATGCTAAGGGACAGTGACCAAGCACTGAATTTAATCCACAGTACACACTTTCTCTATTTTCTTTCTCTCTCTCTCACTCTCCCTCAGAACAGATACACACACATACACACACACACACACACACACACACACACACACACACACACATTCAAACTATTCACCCTCTCCACTGACCTTCAGCATAGCTTATTTTACTTTCTTCCAATTCTGATTGATTTTTTTTTCATTCATTTTTTAACCATACATTACTTTATAAGTGGTTTTACCATTTAGTCAGATTATTTCTCACTAAATCCTTACCTAATATTTCTTCTTTCCTGGCAACCCCAGTCCCTTGTGGTCCTACAGCTTTCAGTGCATTTTCTTATACTATCTTTTTTTTAAAGTTTATTTATATTGTAAAGGTGTTGAACGGGGCTTTTCTATTTGAACACTGTTATCTCCCACATTTTCTCCCACTTTCTAATCCCCATTTCTCTCCCCCCAAAGTTGTCATACATGATATTTAACATATATGTTAAACATATATATTAAACTTGTATTATACATGATATATACCATGATGTATTACATGTGATATATATTAATAATATATAATATATACCATATATTACATGTATGGTACGTCCAATTCATATGTTGTAATGTATTATTATTACATACATAATAATATGTTACTAATATATATTACTTATATATTTAATATATATTACTATAAATATAATGTAAGTATATATTACTTACATGGTATATATTGTATATAATAAAAGTCTAATGTATTTTTCTATTAAGACACAGAAACCAGTTTAGACTTGGGCTTGCTAGGCAACACATAAATGACTGAGGTCAGAAGTATACCATCAAACTTTATTTACAAAAATGCAGCCAAATGTGGGTCACAGTCTGGTTTGATGACTCCTGATCTCATAAACCACCAAGGTTAAGAATCACTGAACACATCAGTGAGCCTGTGTTAGTTACACTTTTCAGCATGGTGACAAAATACCTGACATAAATGACTCAAAAGGATGAATTATTTGCTTTGGTTCATGGTTACGGAAAACTCTACCCAACTTCCTTAACTGTTGATCTGAATCATACTCAGTTCATGATGTCATGTTACTTCTATATATTTGCCCAAAAGATCCATCACATTCGATTATACCCTAAAACTCCAACTCCATACACTCTGGAGAAGGTATAATGAAAATTCATTTGCTGGATCGAAAAGTCATCAGGGGTATTACATGGGATTACTAATTTACTCAGCTTGATTGACAGATAAGTCAACCCAGCCCCTCTAAAAGAGTGCTGCAGAGAGGTGAGAGTCATTGAAAAGTCATAGAACTCCTGACTCTCTGAGGCTTCAACTTGTAAACTAGCGAGGTAGCCATCCTTGTCAATAAGATTCTCAGTATTTTGTTGTTGTGGTTGTTGTTAAACTGTCTGCAAATTGACTATCAGCATATTGTTCAAAGGATTTGCACCCTAAGAATATATATACCCTTGTATACCATACTTTATTTAGTCAGTCAGACTCTGGGTAAAAACTCCCATTTAAAGCTATCATTGGTCAGATAAAATTCAATAGAGGGCCATAAGGCAATAACAAGGATATGTTTTTATGCCAATCCTGGGGCTTGAACTAAGGGCTCACACCCTGTGCCTGAGCTTTTCTGTTCAAGGATAGCACTCTACCACTTGAACCACAGCTCCATTTCTACCTATTTGGTAGTTAATTGCAGGTTAAGTGCAGGTAAGATTTTCATGGACGCTCCTGGGTGAGCTGACTTCGAACGATGGGCTTTAGATCTCGGTCTCAGTAGCTAGGATTACAAACGTGAGCCACTGGTGCCACGCAAGCATACTATTTACTATGAAACCTTTTATGAACTGCAGTGATTTGGATCTCATAGACTTCTTGGATTTATGACAAAAAGATCTAGAAGTAGGCCTATTACTTAGAACAGTGTCACCAAGGAGAAAGAAGTAAACTACTCCCAAATACCATCATAACACCATAAACCTGATTGTATTTGCCTTGTTTGATTTATCATGCCCTATCTTTAGAGGAAGAGATCCCCAAAGTGCTGCATTTATGTACCAAAACTGCAAAGTTAAATAAATGTCATTTCCATTTACATGTAGAGAGTCTCACAGGCACACAA